GGTGATATTTTTGGTGGTGTGCTAAATTTGTGGTCTATGGCAAACACGCATAAGGTTAAGGAAATGATGTTTACTTCAAAGAACATAAGCTCGACAAACACATATCAGATAAAGGAGGCTTACCTTTTTCTGGATACTAAATTAACTTGATACAGCTTTTATATTTTAATTTTCAAAGGTTGTATTCAACTATTAAAGTTATTATATGGGTACCATACCTTGGTCATATATCGCTATAAAGAAGGGTCTTGACAAAGGCCTAAATAGTTTATGGACCAACTCACTTAAATAATTGACCACTAAATCTCATGCGCCAAAACAAGTGCACCTTTTCTTTTAAAATAAATGATGCATGGCTATATATATATATATATATATATATATATATATATATATATATATATTTTTTTTTTTAAACAAATGATGCATGGCTAATGAAATTCTCTATTATTGGATTTAAAAAATGTGCTAATTAATTTTTTTAGACGAAAATAAATTTTATTAAGAGTTGGTCAATAACTTGTATGAAACAAGCTGTCAAACGTAGTAATGACACCTTAGAGAGCACACATGCCAAAAGAAACATCACTACCCCTACAATTACAAACTCATCAAAGGTATAATACAATTCTCTAAATAGAAATTTTATTTGCACTTATGTAACTTCTTTTTACATCCAACTTACTTTCTACATCCATATTATTTTTAATTAAAGAATTAATATCTCTTTAAACCCAAATTTATTAACTAAATGACCCTTCCATACCCAATTCAAAATTAATTTATTTTTGGGTAAATTACACTTTACCACCTTAGGTTTGGAGTCGATTTCAATTCCTTACAACATCTTTAAAACATTTCGCTTTCATACCTTAAGTACTATTTTATTTCAATATAATACATCAGTTACATTTTCCATCCATTGGTCCGTTAATAGCTGACGTGACTGCCACATTTGTGCCATGTGGCTAAACACTTAATAAAAAATTTAAAAATTAAAAAAAATTAATTAAAGGAAAAAAAACCCCAAAATTCCTTCATCTTCCCCACCCGAGCCCAGCCCCTTCATCCGTCCCCCATCACCCACCCCTTCCTCCATCTCCCATCACCCACCCCCTTAGCAATGTGGACAAAATCCACCACGGCGTTGTTTTAATTCTCCCAAATCTGATCACCTACCCGCGCGCCCTCAAAATCAAAGTCTTGGCAGATTTTGAGAAATGCGACTTGGAGCGTGCACTCGCGATGATCGAGCTACTATGCAGAGTCCCCGAGGGTTGCACTACGTTTGCAGCCCACGGGCTGACTGTGCCATTGCTGGTGAAGACGATTCTGAAGATCTCGGACCGAATGACGGAGTACGCGGCAGGAGCGCTGTTGTTGCTGTGCTGGGCTTTGGAGAAGATCCAAAACGAGGCCTTTGCGATGGGGGTTCTGACACAGGTGAGGGAGACGAGGGTGAGAAGAGAGAAGGGGTTGGAGATGAGGGAGTAGGCAAATGATGAGGGATGGGGGAAGGGGGAAGTGGATTTTGGGATTTTTAGGGAAGGGGGTGCGTGGTGGGGAGGACGAAGGAATTTTGGGGTTTTTTTTTCTTTAATTAATTATTTTAATATTTTAATTAAGTGTTTAGCCACGTGGCACAAATGTAGCAGCCACGTCAGCACAAATGTGGCAACCACGTCTGTTCTTAAAGGACAATGGATGGAAAATGTAACAGATGTATTATATTGAAATAAAATAATACTTGAGGTATGAAAGTGAAATGTTTTAAAGATGTTGTAAGGAATTGAAATCGATCCCAAACCTGAGGCGGTAGAGTGTAATTTACCCTTTATTTTTACACCCATTTATAAAATAAAATCTCAAATCTCAAATTGAATAGTTTTGTTTTCAAAGAAACTTGAAAGTCAAAAATCTTCTGGGTCATTTGTACGCCTTGCGGATGCAATTGCAGTAGCTGAGGCGAGAAAGAGGACAGTGTCAGACACAGCGTTGAGCTTCGATACGTGTTGACTATAAATTCTCTCCTAGTTTTCATGCATGTCCTTTTATTTTTTTTGGGGGGGGGGGGTGACTACTTGGAGATTTCCAGAGTGCATCACCTGACCTCAATTATAGAAGGTTGCTAAGCCATTGACATAAAAGGTTGCTGAGCCATTGACATAAAAGATGTGGCCTGTAACTTAGGTACATCTTCAAGGCTTTTGCTTGTACTTTATGTTGGTTATCTAATTGGAACGTTTTGAGCGTGAGATGTTGTTTCATCAAGCTCTTCCATCCTTGCTGCAATTAGGGTTTTAGCCATCAATTAAAAAAACTTGTTTTTTCTATATGAGCTATTAGGGTTTTAGTAGGAATGAATGTAGAATAAACAAGGAGTGATAGTAAGGTTTAATTATAATGAGTGGGTTTTTTTGATAAATTTTAGTTTTATTATTAATCTCATCTCATACTTGATGGTAATTATGTAAGAGGATAAAAAAGACAATTAAAATTTAAGATAAATAAAATTTATCTTCTCTAAAAAACAGAAGAAACAAATACAACCAATACCAAAATTTAACACACGTACACCCTTATAAGTCCGAGAATTGCCATAAAAGCACCATGAGGCAAATACGTACCTCACCATCAAGGGCAGAGTCAAGTACAAGGCTACCCTAGGCTATAGCCTAGGTAGCTCTTGTGCGTACGAACCAATTATTCCCTATATTTCATTTATTTTTATATTCATCTCACTATTAGCCCCATATATTTTTTTTTATTTACTTCATTAACCAATACTATTTATTTCCTAACAAAATCTATTTCACATTGCATATACTATCCATTTATGGTTAATCGTGACCATAATTACTTACTCTAATAGTGCTTTTAATTTTTTTCAAAAGCAACTCGTTGCATGTTTCAGTTTTTGAATTATTTTATGCATGACTTTTATCTGTTTAAAAAAGTTTTACATTGTGTTAACCTTTTTTTGTTTATTTACGTATATATTTGCCATAAAGGTTGATGAACATGGAATAATTGGACGAGCTTACTTATAAGATTAACATATAGTCATTGTTTTTTTGAACAAACTTTTTTATACTTCTTAGCTAGCTCATTGGCTGTAAATTTTCTGGCTCCGCCCTTGTTCACCATCTTATAATCATTTTGCAATTGTCGGCAACGAAACTATACTATGATTTACCGTTTACGTCAAATAAATGTCGATATCATTCTCATAGACTTTTGGCAAGTGCACAAACCATAAAACCACTACATCATATCTGGTTCCAATATCCTAGGGGTTAGAATATTAGATTTCCACCCATGCGTCCCGGATTCGAAACTTCCTCTCCCCTAAATTAATGTAATAGTTCCGAACCTCCCTTTAATAATAATTATAAAAAAAAAAATTGTCACTCTTAGATTAGATTGACCAGTAAGTCACAACTGCTACAAACTCTTTTAGACAAAGCAATAAAGTGACCACAAGCAAAAAAATATCTCAACATAATGAGAGCAACCACTATTAAAAACATAAAAGAAAAGAGAGAATAAATAAATAAGTAAAAGATTGTCACCAACTCCAAAACTAAGGGTTAGTTTGGTATTGTTGTGCTTTAAAAAAAAAAAAAAAAAACTTCTGCTGTATTGTATGAATAAACAGCTATAAAATAAAGTTGTTAAGTGTTTGGTTTTTTTGTTTTTGTTTTTTTTTTCGGTAAAAGTGCTTTTAATAAAAAAAAAAATAGTGTCTAAGTGTTTAGTAAACTTTTATATAAATTGCTATTAATATGTTAAATGACTAAATAGGATATGTATTTATGTGATATAATAATTGTCAAAGAGAATAATATAGGGGGCAATGATTGTAATTTTGTAAAATATGTGAATTTAATTAATTGGGACTAATTAATATGCTTTGAAAAATAAAAACATTTTTTTTGGAAGCATGGTAGAGTCTGTTTTTGCATTTTTATGCTTTTCTACTATTATTGACAACATTTTTTTTAAAGCATTTTTTTTTTGTTTTACCAAACATTCTTGATGTTCTAATTATTTTAATAAACTGTTTTTTTTTAAACACCATAATTCCAAACCAGCCATAAATACATGTGCTGGAGGCTAAAGGTTTTCTTTTTTCCCCTGTCAAATCCATGTGTTCATTAATTTCTTTAAGACATAAAAAAAGTGTCCTTTAAAATATCAAATGAATTATTTCTATGTGATAGATGCTCACCCATCTTAGTTCTAATTGTAGCAAATGGATAGTTTGTCAATTTACAACACTCGTTATTTGTCCATATTTGTATTATATATGCTTTAGATTATCAAAATATCCAAAAAGGGTATCAATAATTTAGCATATATATATAGCAGATTCGTACCCATACCAAAACACACTAATTTTTCCCCGATTTAATTAGCTGTGTTGTGGCTGTTTTCTGACCACGAACGTGGTCCAATCCACCCAATACTATTGTTAGTTTGCTTCTCATAAACATATAAAGGCTAGACCAGTTCGTACATATACGAATAAATCCACATGGGTGAATGTATTTTACTAACAATTTTCGTTTTTTTTAATTTTTTTTTAATTTTGAACAAACGATGTTATCTTCATTAAAAAAGAAATGAACTTAATATCAGAATGCACTAGTAATAATGTGGTATAACTTCGTTTTTAAAAAGAATCAATCCTAAACTTCTCACTTACAAATAAAGAGAAGTATCGCTATATCATAATACTAAATCAACATTTTCCGTTTTTGTTAAGTTGTTGATTCAAATCATCACAGTTTGCTCTAATCTCACACGGGTTCTTCATGCTGATTAAATATTCTCTCTCACTTTCCATATTAAATAATTCTTCTTTGCAAGTGGGTCTGTACGCAAACAGAAAAGAAAAAAAAACCACTGAACTAAAAATTACTTTCCATATTCTATATATCTATGTTCATTTCTGTACCTTATTTGTTTATATTTACGTTTAAAACCAGAAAGAAAAAGAGTTGTGCAGCACGAGCAAATGGGTGTGCGACAGTGCGGAATTATTTAATTATCTGAAAAACCGTCGAATCCCATATAAAATATACATGCTATCTTGTGATCTCTCTCATCACCACTCCAGTCTCTTCCATGTCCCATTCCTTGATCATATTTCCAATGGAACTTCAAGTTTCTGAGCTCTTGCAATTCTTTTACACCTTCGTTTGCTTTCTTCTATTCTCCATCTTCAGCCTCTTTCTATTGAGATCAAACCGATTGTGCAGTTGTGAAATTTGCCAGATCTATCTCACCTCGAGCTGGTCTTTAAAATTCATAAATCTTTGTGATTGGTATGCACATCTTCTTAGAGATTCTCCAAGCAAAACCATCCACATACATGTTCTAAAAAACACCATCACGGCCAACCCTGAAAACGTCGAGTACATCCTCAAAACTCGATTTGAAAACTACCCGAAAGGCAAACCATTCTCTACAATCCTTGGTGACTTTCTAGGTCAAGGCATATTCAACGTGGATGGCCACTCATGGAGGTTCCAAAGGAAGATGGCAAGCCTCGAGCTCGACAGACACTCGGTACGATCGTATGCTTACGAGATTGTCAATCACGAAATCGAACACCGTCTCATCCCTCTTTTATCATCCGTTTGTTCTAATTCGGATAATGGTAACGGAGTAGTCCTCGATTTGCAAGACGTCTTCAAGAGATTCTCGTTCGACAGCATATGCAAGTTCTCTTTCGGGTTGGACCCTATGTGCCTAGAGTTGTCAATGCCCTTGTCCAAATTCACCGTCGCCTTCGACATGGCCTCGATGTTGTCCGCCGAGAGAGCCATGACGCCATCTCCCATAATTTGGAAGATCAAGAGAATTTTAAATTTGGGGAGCGAGAAGCAACTAAAAGAATCCATAAACATCATCGACGGTTTAGCCAAGGAGGTGATCGCCAGAAAGCGCGAAGTGGGATTTTCAACCCAAAAAGATCTCTTGTCAAGATTCATGAGAAGTGTAGAAGATGAATCCTACTTGAGAGACATTGTTGTAAGCTTTTTATTGGCTGGGCGTGACACTGTTGCATCCGCTTTGACAAGTTTCTTTTGGCTCATTGGAACCCACCCGAACGTTGCGTCAGCGATTCTGTTGGAAGCTGACAGGGTGCTTGGACTCAATCAAGGCCTCAAGAGCTTTGATCAAATGCAAGAGCTTCACTATTTACAATCCGCAATTTATGAGAGCATGAGGCTCTACCCTCCTGTACAGTTTGACTCAAAGTTTTGTGAACAAGATGATGTTTTACCCGATGGCACGTTTGTGAGGAAAGGGACTAGGGTTACTTACCATCCGTACGCAATGGGTCGGATCCAGGAGATTTGGGGCTCTGACTGCATGGAATTTAAGCCCGACAGATGGTTAAAGGATGGCGTTTTCTTCACGGAAAACCCTTTCCAGTACCCAGTTTTTCAACCGGGACATAGGGTTTGTCTGGGGAAAGAGATGGCTGTGATGGAGATGAAAACCGTTGTGCTTTCACTGCTCAGACGTTTTAACATCGAACATGCAGCACACGAATCAAGTAGTGTGCCTCGGTTCTCTCCCGGACTCACTGCAACCTTAAGTGGTGGGCTTCCAGTGCTGGTGAAAGAAAGGACTAGCACCACCATCGAGTCATGAGTCATGACTCGTGATGAGTCATATTCTGCTCTGCCATATTTGGTGCATGTTTAGTAGGATCTACCAATAAAAAAGTGTTGCGCGCAGTGTTACCTCGGTGGCTGAACTCAAGGTTATGTAACCAGAACGTCTACTGTCGGTGTACGGTATTTATATTTTGGTGTACAAAATGATGGCAATGTAGCTGGCTGCTTTTTTACCACTGTGCAAGTGGATACATATATTCCTTCATGGAGTATAATTAGCTAGTGATGATTTGCTTTATCTATTTGTTTTTTTATACAAAAAGCTGCACACTATGGATGTTGAGTTTGATATATTGGAAGAAGTACACTTAATAACATATATCTAAGAGCTAAGATTCTATATTCACTAAATTAGGGTTCTTTGTTATTCTATGTGAATCCACAACACCACATACTCTCCCAAAGGGTTGGCGACTTTGGCTAACTAGGTTTCTTGTCCATACAAACGAAACGATATGCTTTTTCTTTTTGATAAGTTGTTTTATTCAATATACCATAAATCTTATATAGCCCAAAAACTTTCAATTTGAAATCCAAGAGTGAAAATTAAGAAATAAATTGTGTCACCATTTTTTTAATAAAAGATGCATTGTTTGAATGCTGTCACAGGGCAAAAATAAAAAAGAAAACGAGCCTCTAGCAATATTTGAAATTCTCTTTTTATAAATAACATCTTTCAAGTAGGGTTTTGATAATTTCTCTCACATGCCTTTGTAATTCTGATTTTATGGTCAATTCCATGCTAACTTGACCTCAATATCTTGAAACTTAGAAATCTCTTGCCCAAATATAGCAATGCTGAACTGCACTCTTTGTGAAGTTATAAGATAAGAGGAAAAAAAAAAAAAAAAAAAGACCAAAGTCGTTGGGCAGTTGGAACGTTGGTCCCAAATCATGAGGAGAAAAAGTAGAAAGTACAAACTATGTCACAAGGCCTTCAAATGTATCTGACATCATATTCACATAATTAATTTGTACCACTAGGGCTGCAGTTTTCTGTCTCCCTTTTGTACGTGATTTTAATATTTCGTGTGGCCTCTTTGCATTGCATATATTCTGCTAAAAATCCAGTTCCAGTAGAAATGCACTGTCGGGATCACAGTAGGTCCGTCCCAATAATCGATCCTTTATTCGACCAACTTAAAACTTTCTCAGGTGAATGAACAACGTGACAATTGGGATTATTATAAGCGGGTTTTGATGTGTTAAGGTTTGGAGTTTGATCATGCAGTAGGCTCCTAAGAATTGTTTTTGTGAAGGTTAGGAGTATGCTCTAAAATTGGGTTTTGATTGGGTGATTTTTGAAGGATACTTCACCTATGCGAAGACTAATTATTGATGAGGTTAACTTGTTGCTAATACCGTCTTCTTCTTTTTTTGCTAGTTTAATCCAATTGCATTATCCAAAACACAATCGGCATTAATATTTCAACAAAAACAAAAATTGGCATTTCTATATTACTAATTGGGTTAATAATTCCATGGTTTTAACGGTAGAAATATTTTAATATTCTAAGGTGGTTCACGTGTCATATGTGATATGTAGAGTTTAACGATATTATTATTTGCAAACAATTCTATAGGTCAAATTATGATATATTGTTTCCTATCTTATTACCATGATGGGTGTAAATTGATTATGGGCTTCCAAGGAAAATGAGTCCTCTCTCTACCTTATACATGTATATATAATGCACATACCCATCTAATGTGCATTTTTTTTACAAAAAACATGATTAGGGTTTTTATGTGCAAACTAAGGCAAGAGAGAGAAACTATTTCCTCCACCGCCGATTGAAACATATTGGAATCTTATAGCGTTCACCATCATAGATCAAAGTATGCTTAGTTGTTTATTGTATTTCCATAGCTAATGCATATGTGAAAATCATAAATTCGATGATCTTGGCTTAATTTAATTTGTAGTTTACATTAATTTCTAATTATTTATTGGTAATGAACAAGTTCATGTGACTAGTATTTCATGCTGCTAGAATATGACTGGTTTCTTTTATGTTGCCTCTTCGGCCGGCAGTAAAGAAACTGATTTGTCATAGCTCCACTTATGATCGTCACAAAATAATCATGTCATTAAAGTTAGTTGAAATCAATCTATATATCCATTCTCAAGAAAATCTTAGCAGGAAATTAATATATATTTATGTCCATTATCAAGCTAATTAGTCCCCTTTTCTTGGCGGGAATCTCTCAAATCTTGCATCTTCGTGTGAAATAACTTGAAAAGCTTATAAAGAGGAACATAGATGTAGGTCCATTTCTAAGAATTTGTGGGCATATGAAATTTGGACATAATAAAGGTTTTGTTGAACTTTTACTTGATACTACAGTTCTGTTGTATTTCTCTTTATTTGTGAGTTAAAGGTTTTAGATTCGAAATTTCCTACATAAAAAATTGGGTACCATTTTATTATAGCTGGCTTATATATGACTCACCACAAATCTCTCGCTCCTAGGCCCCGTTTATTATTACTTTTCCACAAAAAAATTGTTTCACTTAAATTTAAGCAATAAAAAGTGTTTGGTAAAACTAAAATATCCTACTTATTTTAAAGACAATAACCTCTAGACAACAGCTTTTAAAAGTAGTATGTAGTTTGCTTTTAAAAGCTACCTTTACAAAAAGTAAAGTTGAACCTTTAATGAATATTTTTAATTTCTATATGCTCTTATTAGTTTTTTAAGATGATATTACTTATCCCTTTACACACTCTTAGTTTTAATCAAAAGAATTAATTAAATAATTATTATCCTCGAAAAAGGGAGTGGATTTTGAATAATCGCTAATATATATCTTTGATCAGATTTTGAATAATCACTCATATATTTCCTAGTTTAAGTGCGATTGTGTAAATCCTATATTAGATTTGATTCTAGTTATTCTTTCCTATATGGACTTGTATTCTTTGAGGATGAAGAATTTATTCTCCCTTTTATTACTATAAATAAAGGCACTATGGAGGGGGAATAACACACACATTCCTTTACACAATTCTACACACACATCTCTCTCTTCTCTCTTTGTCGCCAGCCCACTTCCCCTTGTTAGATAAAATAGGCCACAACACGTTATCAGCACACTCCTACCACTACGCTTAGGAATATGATGTGAAAGCTTTTTGCATCAAACCAGTTCATCCAATATCATCATGCAATCAGGTTCTTCCAAAACAACAATTTTTATCTCGATATTTTTGTAGCCCTGATAGCATGAACATTCACCATAATGCATGACCCAACTTTACGTTTTTCCAATTTTAGATTCTACATAAATTGTGTATGCATTAAATATATGTTCATTTGTTCAAATTATATATGCTTTGAATTAATTGAAGAAAAAAAAATAGAAATAAAAAAATCTTAGGGTTCTTCGAACCTGTGACCCGTGACACAAAACTGGCTCACGTGAGCCTCTTTGGGTTGCGATGCATCAGAGCTGAACCTATGCTCCGTCTAAGACGACGCCATTTTGGCATCAAACCCACGACCTAGCACCGCCCACAATCAGCAATGGCCTCACCATCGTGTTTCTTGGGAAATCACGACTTGCAGTCATGTTTGGGACCTCACCATTGTTGGTCGATGATGGGTTTTTCTTAAAAAAACCGATGAACCATCAGTGAATTCTTCGAATCCTCAAGGTTTCTCGAACCCCCGACATTAAAACCTGATTTTCAGTCCAAGATTTGGGTTCCTAGTTGAACATCGCCTCGCCGTGACCACCCGAGGCAAGTCGCCTGAAGCGATGTTGTAGCTTTTTTTGGTTCGAATCCGACACCCAACGTCGCTGGGATGTCTTAGGTTTTCTCGACCCGAGCCCTAGTGGGCCTCGGAACCTCGAGCCTGCATCGCACAACACATTTTGGGTTTGTTGATTGCTCTTCCTGCCACGGCCCATATCCAACAAACCAATCAGGTTTTTCTATTGGACCCGGCCCTGTACCACCAACCCAAAATTGATTTTTTTTTTCATGTATGCGTCACACTAAACCATAACCTTTCTTGGGCCTCTGCTTTGGGCTTGAGCCTACAGCCCAATAATTTGTGATGCTAGGCCCGAGCCCATTCTAACCCATTTTTGGGCCTGGGCCGCACATCTCCAATTTGCTCAGCCTATCCGTGGGCTTTGGCCTATGGTTTTGGGTCCCGAGCTTAATTGTTTAATTTTTTTAGACAATTTGGGTTTTATAATTTTTCACCCACACTATAAATTTGGCCCGAAGTCCAAATAATTAATGCAATTATAATTCTAAACCTGAAGTTTTATTTACATATATTCTTGTTGCATATTTATGTGTATATATTTGCGTTTGTCTGCATGAACATATGAACCTGAAGTTCATAATTATTTCGAAACCTTAAGTTTCTAAAAACATGCCTTGTTTGAAAACCTGAAATTTTCCTTAAAAACATCACCCATGAAAACCTGAAGTTTTTTTCATGCGAATTTTAACCAATACATGTCTATTAGAACCTGAATGTTCTACTCATATGTGAATGGATTGATTCTCTTTCTTCATTACACTAATCACATCTTATCTTTTGTTTTGTGATAGGAACATGTCGAATTTGAACAAACTCGACTTCACCGCTTTGGAGGTCTCTGGAAGGAACTACCTCAAGTAGGTCCAAGATGTGAAGCTCCACCTCACTGCAAAGAATTTTCATCTCGCCATTAAAGATGAGACGGAGAACCCGGTTGACGAAGTTGAGAAAGCTGCTGCCATAATCTTCATCTGAAGACATATTTATGATGCACTGCAAACCGAGTACCTTGTTGAGGAAGATCCACAAGCACTATGGGTCGCTTTGGCTAATCGTTTTGATCACCAAAAGGACATCTTCTTGCCTGAAGCAAGACATGACTAGCACAATTTGGGCTTTCAAGACTTTAAGTCTATGAATGAATATAATTATGAAGTTTAACGAATTCGATCACTTCTCAAGTTTTGTAACGAAACTTTGACCGAAGAGGATCTCCTGGAGAAGACCTATTCGACATTCTTTGCTACTAATATTGTCCTGTAGCAACAATATAGAGCTCAGAAGTTCACTAAGTTCTCGAATTTAATATGTGTTTTACTTTTCGTTGAAAAGCAGAATCAATTGTTGATGAAGAATCATCAAGCTTGACTTACTGGGGCGATTGATGTGCCTAAAACACACTATAGCACGAACCAATGCCTAAAACGCCAAAAGAAGCGAGGCAAGGGTGGCCAGAAACCACCCAATAATGGTCAACAGAGCCAAGGCCCATCTAAAGGTAAAAACAAAGCCCAG